ACCTCAATTTTTAAAACACTGCAGAAGCAAGCCATGCTTTGTAACCGTCCACACTAATCCCCAAAGCAGCTCAGGGTCTGTGACCTCACGTGACGACTGACCACTGAGTACTTCCTAAACTTCATGGCACTGATAATTCTCAATCTGCCTGATGACTGCACTTTCTTAACTCCCCAAAACAAAATATCATTCCTACGAGCCCTCCTAGGGCAGGGAAGGTACCAGAGCCAGAGGTTGCTACCACCTGCAGCTCACAAGACTGCCATTCACACGAGCCCCCCTGGGACGGGGAAGATGGCAGACCAGAGGTCTAGCTTCTCCCTACGAGCCCCATGAGGGCGGGGAATGTGGCTAGGCCTGGAGACAGCTGGTCCCAGAAGATGAGGAGGTACTTATACCTCCTCCCATAGTAGACATAGGTCTCAGACACTCCCAAGACAAGGAGCCAAGGCCGGGTCACAATCTGGAAAAGATCCGGGCCGGGAGAGTACCGGCAAATCAACAAAATTTAACTCGTCACGGACAACAGACCAAGTATCTACACACAAGTGAATGACAAATAATAACTAACTAGAAATGAGAAGTTGATTTTCATATTGGATCGCAGATCAGCATATATAGGAAACTATAAGTATTTATAATCTACGCGCTAACCACTAGACCAGCTAGCGCGACGGGCTGGAGTTTTGAGACTCTATGACCGCGGGTTCAATCCCGGCCGGGGGTATGGTTTATTTGCAATCGTGTCATTACGATTTCTTAAGTCATGTTGACGGCAGTGAAGGGACTTGAGCTAGAGTTCGTCACGGCCACGCTAGCTGGAGATTCGTCTGTAAAAACTTGCATTTGTGGTCACAGAGGTGCCTGTGCTAACCTTCCTATGGTGTAGAAATATACCTAGTTGGATGAATCTTATTGTGGCTAGCTGGTCTAGTGGTTAGCGCGACGGGCTGGAGTTTTGAGACTCTATGACCGCGGGTTCAATCCCGGCCGGGGGTATGGTTTATTTGCAATCGTGTCATTACGATTTCTTAAGTCATGTTGACGGCAGTGAAGGGACTTGAGCTAGAGTTCGTCACGGCCACGCTAGCTGGAGATTCGTCTGTAAAAACTTGCATTTGTGGTCACAGAGGTGCCTGTGCTAACCTTCCTATGGTGTAGAAATATACCTAGTTGGATGAATCTTATTGTGGCTAGCTGGTCTAGTGGTTAGCGCGACGGGCTGGAGTTTTGAGACTCTATGACCGCGGGTTCAATCCCGGCCGGGGTATGGTTTATTTGCAATCGTGTCATTACGATTTCTTAAGTCATGTTGACGGCAGTGAAGGGACTTGAGCTAGAGTTCGTCACGGCCACGCTAGCTGGAGATTCGTCTGTAAAAACTTGCATTTGTGGTCACAGAGGTGCCTGTGCTAACCTTCCTATGGTGTAGAAATATACCTAGTTGGATGAATCTTATTGTGGCTAGCTGGTCTAGTGGTTAGCGCGACGGGCTGGAGTTTTGAGACTCTATGATCGCGGGTTCAATCCCGGCCGGGGTATGGTTTATTTGCAATCGTGTCATTACGATTTCTTAAGTCATGTTGACGGCAGTGAAGGGACTTGAGCTAGAGTTCGTCACGGCCACGCTAGCTGGAGATTCGTCTGTAAAAACTTGCATTTGTGGTCACAGAGGTGCCTGTGCTAACCTTCCTATGGTGTAGAAATATACCTAGTTGGATGAATCTTATTGTGGCTAGCTGGTCTAGTGGTTAGCGCGACGGGCTGGAGTTTTGAGACTCTATGACCGCGGGTTCAATCCCGGCCGGGGGTATGGTTTATATTGTGTGATGCATCTACCAGTCTTATATTGTGTGATACATCCTACCAGTCTTATATTGTGTGATACATCCTACCAGTCTTATACTGTGTGATGCATCCTACCAATCTTATACTTTGTAATACATCCTACCAGTCTTATGAAATTAAGACACATGTGCAACATCTGGGTATCTTTGTTGTAGACGTTTCGCCATCCAGTGGCTTTAACAATACAAATTCCAGGACATAACTTGACAGTAGAACTATGTACAGAAGATGAGGTAATGAGTCCCTCACCCATGGAGTAGGTGCGAAGAGCACCGTAGTCGTGAAGATTCATCTACACGACTACGGTACTCTTCGCACCTACTCCAAGGTTGAGGGACTGATTAGGGTGCTCTTCGCACCTACTCCAAGGGTGAGGGACTGATTACCTCATCTTCTGTACATACTGCTACTGTCAAGTTATGTCCTGGAATTTGTATTGATAAAGCCACTGGATGGCGAAACGTCTACAACAAAGATACCCAGATGTTGCACATGTGTCTTAATTTCATCTTGTCGGTATTGTATGCAATTCTTAAGCTACTAGTCTTACACTGTGTGATACATCCTACCAGTCTTACATTGTGTGATACATCCTACAAGTTTATATTGTGTGATACATCCTACCAGTCTTACCCTGTGTGATACATCCTACGAGTCTTATTCTGTGTGATACATCCTACCAGTCTTATTCTGTGTGATACATTCTACTAGTCGTATACTGTGATATATCCTATCAGTCTTATACTGTGTGATACATCCTACCAGTCTTATATTGTGTGATACATCCTACCAGTCTTACCCTGTGTGATACATTCTACCAGTCTTATATTATGTGATACATCCCCCAGTCTTACCCTGTGTGATATAATCTACCAGTCTTATATTGTGATACATCCTACCAGTCTTACCCTGTGTGATACATTCTACCAGTCTTACCCTGTGTGATACATCCTACCAGTCTTATATTATGTGATACATCCCCCAGTCTTACCCTGTGTGATATAATCTACCAGTCTTATATTGTGTGATACATCCTGCCAGTCTTACCCTGTGTGATACATTCTACCAGTCTTATATTATGTGATACATCCCCCAGTCTTACCCTGTGTGATATAATCTACCAGTCTTATATTGTGTGATACATCCTACCAGTCTTTCCCTGTGTGATACATTCTACCAGTCTTACCCTGTGTGATACATCCTACCAGTCTTATATTATGTGATACATCCTACCAGTCTTATATTATATGACACATCCTATCAGTCTTACCCTGTGTGATACATCCTACCAGTCTTATATTATGTGATACATCCTACCAGTCTTACCCTGTGTGATATATTCTACCAGTTTTACCCTGTGTGATACGTTCTACCAGTCACATCCGGTGTGATACATCCTACTCGTCTTATATTATGTGATACATTCTACCAGTCTTATCTTGTGTGATACATCCTACCAGCCTTGTACTGTGTGATACATCCTACAAGTCTTATATTGTGTGATACATCCTACCAGTCTTATCCTGTATGATACATCCTTCCAGTCTTATATTGTGTGATACATCCTACCAGTCTTTACTGTGTGATACATCATACCAGTCTGGCATTGTGTGATACATTCCACCAATCTTTACTGTGTGATACATCCTACCAGTCTCATATTGTGTGATACATCCTACCTGTCTTATATTGAATGATACATCCTACCAGTCTTATACTGTGTGATACATCTTACCAGTACTATACTGTGTGATACATCCTACCTGTCTTATATTGTGTGATGCTTCCTACCTGTCTTATACTATGTGATACATCCTGCCAGTCTTATACTGTGTGTTACACCCTACCAGTCTTATATTGTGTGATACCTTCTACCAGTCTTGCCCTGTGTGATACATTATACCAGTCTTATCTTGTGTGATACATTCTACCAGTCTTATCCTCTGTGATACTTTCTGCTAGTCTTATATTATGTGATACATCCTACCAGTCTTACCCTGTGTGATACATCCTACCTGTCTTATATTATGTGATACATTCTACCAGTCTTAGCATGTGTGATGCATCCTACCAGTCTTATATTATGTGATGCATAATACCAGTCTTATATTTTGTGATACATCCTACCAGTCTTATCTTTTGTGATACATCCTACCAGCCTTGTACTGTGTGATACATCCTACCAGTCTTGTATTGTGTGATACATCCTACCAGCCTTGTACTGTGTGATACATCCTACCAGTCTTGTATTGTTTGATACATCCTACAAGTCTTATATTGTGTGATACATCCTACCAGCCTTATCCTCTGTGATACATCCTTCCAGTCTTATATTGTGTGATCCATCCTACCAATCTTATCCTGTGTGATACATCCTACCAGTCTTGTACTGTGTGATACTACCTACCACTCTCATAATGCGTGATATATCCTAACAGTCTTATCCTGTGAGATACATCCTACCAGTCTTAACCTCTGTGATGCATCCTACCAATCTTACCCTGTGTGAAACATCCTATCAGTCGTGATACTACCTACCAGTCTTATACTGTGTGATACATCCTTCCAGCCATATTCTGTGTGATACATCCTGCCAGTCTTATTTTGTGTGATACATCCTGCCAGTCTTATTTTATGTGATACATCCTACCAGTCTTATACTGTGTGATACACTCTACCAGCCTTATATTACGTGATACATCCTACCAGTCTTTACTGTGTGATACATCCTACCAGCCTTATATTGTGTGACACATCCATCCAGTCTTATATTGTGTGATACATGCTACCAGTCTTTAATGTGTGATACATGCTACAAGTTATATTGTGTGATACATCCTACCAGTCTTTACTGTGTGATACATACTACCAGTCTTACCCTGTGTGATAAATCCCACTAGTCTTACATTGTGTGATACATACTACCAGTCTTGTACTGTGTGATACATACCACCAAAAATCTTGAAAATCATCCTGCGCCTTATATGCCCAAGGTCAGGGTTAAGGCTGACTTCTGGTTACACTTTAGTGTGAAGTAAGAGCGTAATTAACCCTTGAATATAATTAATGATTTACCTCTATACTTCTGTCGTGCGCCTTATATGAGGGAAAACACTGTATATGCAGGAGTGATGCACAGTTGTCTTCTTCAGGTATTTCTTCAATTCAGCTGAAAGTGTGAGGCAATGTCAGACGATAAATCCTTCTGCCGACTATTGTAAAGGTCTCTGCAGCCCGTGTGTCATCCAGTGTGAGACTCCAGGTCAGGATGGTCACGTTATCTTACAAGCATTCTAATATGTTTTTAATTCGTTATCTGTCTCTGTCTGTATGTATCTCTCTCTCTCTCTCTCTCTCTCTCTCTCTCTCTCTCTCTCTCTCTCTCTCTCTCTCTCTCTCTCTCTCTCTCTCTCTCTCTCTCTCTCTCTCTCTCGCTGTCGCTTTAATAGGTAACATTTCAGTGTTCCTTTGGTACTTGCTATTCTTAATAATAATAATAATAATAATAATAATAATAAATAATAATAATAATAATAATAATAATAATAATAATAATATAATATAATAATATAATAATAAATAAATCTAATAATAATAACAACAACAACAACAGCAACAACAGTAATAATGATAATAATAATAATAACAATAATAATAATAATAATAATAATAATAATAATAATAATAATAACAATATCTTAAGATTAAATTATTATAGAAAATTCTCCAGTAATTTGAATATCAATAAAATTTTCAATATTTCGGGTTCTCTTTGAAAATAAATAAATAGGCAATTAATATGAGCTAATTATTTCCATAACTGCATACATTTTCTGTGTATTCCAGGCACGTTAATTCCGTCAACACTGGATTGTAGCAAATATGAAATCTGCCTTGAAACAGGTCCTCAGGAAGTAGAATGTCCGACTGCTACTCCGTATTTCAACTTCGAGAATTATGGATGTACCGATGACCCGACTGTTTGCTACGACCTTTGTGACCCCTGTGACGTGTACTGCGTGACTGAGGGCAGGATTCCTAATCCACACAACTGTCATGGCTACTTGTACTGCAACCCTCCTGATGTGGCTTTATTTCTTTGCCCCGAAAACGAAGTCTTTAACACACAATCTCTCATCTGTGAGAACACCACAGACACCTGTGACAACCTCTGTACAGACACCACTGGCGCTTATGATGATTCTTGGGACTCGTTTTTGGAATAAGTTTGAGTATGTTTGATATGTGAATAAATCTATCAGCGTTTATAGGTTTTACAAAAAAAATATCATTTTATTAAAAGCCTCATATGGGGTAATTATCTCACATGAAAATATGCAGAATTAATCCCGATGTCACTGAGATTAGAGTGAAAAGTAAAGTGTATGTGATAACGAGTGACTCACTGGCACCAACATGTCTGAGCAAACTCCTCTGGTTGACACTTGACGCTATTGGTCGAAATGTGACTCCACTGGTCAAGACGTGATATATCTGTTCGAGATGTTCTATCACTGATCACGGGAGAATACGGGACACTACTGTTCGAACCGTAACAGAGCTACTAGCTACATATATAGTACACTCCGAAGTCTCCACTAAGTGCTCAGTATTTAGTTTTCTTACCATTGTCTCAGAGAACATGTAGTGACAGAGGAACATCAAAGATCATTACTTAACTCTCATAGTGAACCTTATTAAATACTGAAACTACAGCCGTAAACCTAGACTCACATATCACTACTGGATTCCCTGAGATACAACTTCAGCGAGTCAGACTTCAAGAAACAGTTCAATTAATCCTTACAGTGGTTCTCAATTAACCTAAACAACCAACTTTACACAATTTGTACATAAAGTCACAGGGAAACTTTGTGATACTAAATGTATATCAGTCGCTGAATGATCTGAGATATGTTTTTTTTTTTTTTTTTTTTTTTTCGCAGGTACTCTCCCGGCCCGGGTCTTTTCCAAGTAGTGGTGACCCGGCCTTGGCTCCCTATCTGGGGAGTGTCTCGAGACTTAAGTCTCCCATGGGAGGAGGTACAAATACCTCCTCATCTTCGGGACCAAGTGTCCCCAGGCCTAGCCACATTCCCCGCCCTCACGGGGCTCGTAGGGAGAAGCTAGGCCTCTGGTCTGCCATCTACCCCGCCTCAAAGGGGCTCGTGGGGATGGCAGTCTTATTTTTTTTTTTTTCTGAGATATGTATCCGCGTATTGCATAACCACAGTCCCTGTACTGCAATGCACGCGAATAGAATAGCACAGAGTGCGTTTAAGGTAATCAAAAATGGCTTTCAAAAGTCATATGGAAACTGACATTCCAATTTCTTAAAAAAAAAAATGACAATTTATGATCTACACGAACCAAACTTATTGATTTTTCTTTTTGTTAAGATGCACCAACCTTGAAGCTAAAGTGAAGAGGTATGTTTAAGGGGCACGTCAGTTCACCTGTCTTCTAATAATATGTTATTTTTCACTATAGTCTACCTTATCCATAATTACTATCACATTTGCTTTGTTTCGTAAGGTGAAGTCCAGGATCTTTCCTTAATTCATGGTATAACTTAACAAATATTTTAGGACAATTGTGTAGCACAGACCTGTGCAACACAATTGTCATCAAAGAATTGTTAAGTTATACCAAGAATTTGTTAAGTTGAAGATTGAGACACTTATGCAGCATATGGGAATCTTTATTCAGGAAACGTTTCGCCACACAGTGGCTTCATCAGTCCAATACAAAGAGGAAGGCGTAAGGAGAGGAGGAGAATGAGGTAATCAGTCCCTCAACCTGGAGTCGATGTGTTCACTCCATCAGTCTTGTAGAATGTACAGCATAGGGCCGTAGACGTGGCTTATGTACTGTCTACGGCCCTATGCTGTACATTCTACAAGACTGATGGACTGAACACATCGACGCCAGGCTGAGGGACTGATTACCTCATTCTTCTCCTCTCCTTACGCCTTCCTCTTTGTATTGGACTGATGAAGCCACTGTGTGGCGAAACGTTTCCTGAATAAAGATTCCCATATGCTGCATAAGTGTCTCAATCTTCAACTTGTCGGTTTTTCAAACCATTCATCACAATTTGTTAAGTTATACCATGAATTTGTTAAGTTATACCATGAATTAAGGAAAGATCCTGGACTTCACCTTACGAAACAAACAAAGCAAATGTAAAAGTAATTATGGACAAGATATATTATAGTGGAAAAATAAAAATGATATTAGGAGACAGAGAAAATGAGGTGCCTCTTAAGTTGTCTCAGAGAGATCAATGTCCTGAAATACACCGGCATATTAAGTTTGAAGCCGTCCAGAAGTGGCATTATCAAGCTATCAGCATTGATAACTTGACGCTAATTCGATGCGACACTCAGAACTTATCGAATGAAAAGCAGTACATAAATTTTGATAATTTAAAAAAATGGGCCTATAAGCTACCTTTATTTAAGCTCTAGGTACATAACAAACTTTTTTATAATGGTCTTGAGGATGTTATAGACACATCAAAGTACGTTAAGTTGATTTTACATAGGATAACCCAATAAAGTCAAACACTCAGACTTCTGATCACAGGAAATATATTCCCAGTATTTCAGAAAAAAACAGTTTTATTGAAAAAAATGGCACATTAAAACTTGTACATATGTTGGTAGAATTGCCGACAGTATGTAAAGTAAAAGGACACAAGTGCAACTAATGTGACATTTTATTGTGGCAACGTTTCGCTCTCCAGGAACTTTGTCAAGCCTGCTTGACACATTAAAACTTACACAAATTTAAATGAAAAGAAAGTTTCCTCTGAAAAATACATCAACACTAAAACTTAAAAACCGATAAGAAGTGTGGAAAATAATTTACCAATATTATGCTGTGTAAATAAACCTGATTAAAAGTGTATTTTTAAAAGAAGAGAATGGAGCCGACAGGGAGGCTCTGCGCATGTGCAGAAGAGACTCGCCATTGTTGTTTGAATTGAACACAAACGTTAGTGAATAATGGGAAGAATTTTTTGTGCTCTAGAGGTAAAATTGGGCTGACACCTCTCAAATAGGAGGCGAAATTGTTGGATGTGCATTCCTGCATAACCTGAAATATCAGGCGACTGGACAAGACAGCTTCAGGAACCTCAGATAAGTCTGTTTATGAAGATTGAGACACTTATGCAGCATATGGGAATCTTTATTCAGGAAACGTTTCGCCACACAGTGGCTTCATCAGTCCAATACAAAGAGGAAGGCGTAAGGAAAGGAGGAGTATGAGGTAATCAGTCCCTCAGCCTGGAGTCGATGTGTTCAGTCCATCAATCTTGTAGAATGTACAGCATAGGGCCGTAGACGTGGCTTATATACTGTAGTGAGGTGACTTGAAGCAGACGGAGGCGGGATCATAGTGGTATCATCCACTAGTCCTCCTTTCCTTACGCCTTCCTCTTTGTATTGGACTGATGAAGCCACTGTGTGGCGAAACGTTTCCTGAATAAAGATTCCCATATGCTGCATAAGTGTCTCAATCTTCAACTTGTCGGTTTTTCAAACCATTCATCACAACTGTCAGACACTGCAGCATCATGGGATCTTCTTACAAAGAATTCTTCAACGCTTGTTCAACCTTTGGACAAAGACCTACTTCGACTAGTGGATGATACCACTATGATCCCGCCTCCGTCTGCTTCAAGTCACCTCACTACAGTATATAAGCCACGTCTACGGTCCTATGCTGTACATTCTACAAGATTGATGGACTGAACACATCGACTCCAGGCTGAGGGACTGATTACCTCATACTCCTCCTTTCCTTATGCCTTCCTCTTTGTATTGTACTGATGAAGCCACTGTGTGGCGAAACGTTTCCTGAATAAAGATTCCCATATGCTGCATAAGTGTCTCAATCTTCAACTTGTCGGTTTTTCAAACCATTCATCACAACTGTCAGACACTGCAGCATCATGGGATCTTCTTACAAAGAATTCTTCAACGCTTGTTCAACCTTTGGACAAAGACCTACTTCGACTAGTGGATGATACCACTATGATCCCGCCTCCGTCTGCTTCAAGTCACCTCACTACAGTATATAAGCCACGTCTACGGCCCTATGCTGTACATTCTACAAGATTGATGGACTGAACACATCGACTCCAGGCTGAGGGACTGATTACCTCATACTCCTCCTTTCCTTACGCCTTCCTCTTTGTATTGGACTGATGAAGCCACTGTGTGGCGAAAGTTTCCTGAATAAAGATTCCCATATGCTGCATAAGTGTCTCAATCTTCAACTTGTCGGTTTTTCAAACCATTCATCACAACTGTCAGACACTGCAGCATCATGGGATCTTCTTACAAAGAATTCTTCAACGCTTGTTCAACCTTTGGACAAAGACCTACTTCGACTAGTGGATGATACCACTATGATCCCGCCTCCGTCTGCTTCAAGTCACCTCACTACAGTATATAAGCCACGTCTACGGCCCTATGCTGTACATTCTACAAGATTGATGGACTGAACACATCGACTCCAGGCTGAGGGACTGATTACCTCATACTCCTCCTTTCCTTACGCCTTCCTCTTTGTATTGGACTGATGAAGCCACTGTGTGGCGAAACGTTTCCTGAATAAAGATTCCCATATGCTGCATAAGTGTCTCAATCTTCAACTTGTCGGTTTTTCCAACCATTCATCACAAGTCTGTTTATGTTTAACTCTGGCCAGTGTTATTTCATGTATAGACAGTGAGGTTTTCTGAGTATGATACACATTAATCTCCAGTCAAATTGGTGAGTGATATTAAGATATATTCTCCTTCTGTTATGTAAATTGTATATATATAATCAATTATTAATTTTAATATACAGTCCACAAATTAATATATTAACAAGAATTCCTGGTGTATGTACATTTCATTTGTAATTAATAGGTCTAGAGCAACTTGTGGATATGACAGTGGTAGGTATCGAAGGGGGACATTTTTTGTGACCTAGGTGTCCCAAATTCCTACTTGTCTATGTAACTCTGATAAATAATAATTATCTTTGCTATCATTTACTGTTATGTACATAATGAGTTACATTCAGATAAATGCAATTTTCCACAAGAAGATGCAGTCACAAGTTATTGTTAAAAATACAAAATAAACACAGTTCAAACCCAAGAAACGTTTTACCGATTTCTTATGATGCATCAAATATTTAGGACTGAATTATTTTAATCGGGAGAAACCGCCCGAGGAATGTTAGGCATTCATATTCGCCTCAGCAAGGCGAGGATAAATCCAGTCACTTGGATCGAGAACTCTCACCAGCATCAAGGCATCTTGAGGAAGCATGATACATCTACATAATGCAAAATATTACTATACCATATCAAGAATAAGTGGCAAAATAGAAACTACACTCTCCATTAACTATTCCAAAAAAATTTTGAAATTATACAGCCCATCAGAAGAGGCTTTCCAAAAGTATCTTATAGAAACCAATTTAGAGAATGATTAATATAAAACTGAGCAGAGAACATCTGCACTTGTTAGTTACCACAAGATTCTTTACCTGTTGATAGTTGACCAGTGTCCATAATTTGAAGATGATAACATAAATA